AGTCACTTCTCAGATGATGGATATTTTTTAGGTGTCTTAATCTCTGACTGCCAACAACATTTGTGGATTTATACACAAACCTTCAGCTGAGATGACATGTTCGAGTTAAGTCACTTCCTTCCTGGACAATTTACATTTGGCAGGACTTATTTTTAGACTGGCTTCCTTCAATTACTAAAGCTCATTCCTAATATTTACCAAATGCTCTTCAAAGCTTTTCCCGATCAAAATGATATCATTCAGGCTTCACAGGAAAGACCTCTCAACACTGTCAAAATGAGGCATTCAAATGTTGCCACCGAATGACAATCTAAACAGCAGAATTTTGAGCTGCCAAAGTCCTTGTTGAGTGGTTAATGCTCAGTCATCAGGACCAGGTTTCTCATCAGGGACAGGTCTGTCATCAGGCTCTATCTCTACCTGGCAATATTCATTCTTTAAAGCAAGTGGCTGAAACCACTTGCTTTCAGAAAGATTATCCGGAATGTTGCCAATTCTAAAAAGAAGGCAGCTTTCTTTCTTTGTGATGTCATTCAACTGATGATATTCGATACAAAATGTAGTTGAACTATCCTTCTTTTTTATCGGGACAATGGGAGAGGCCCAAGGACTTGCAGAAAGCTCAATCCCATAGCTGCCCTGCATGTCTTTTAGAAGTTTATCTTACATCTTCCAGTTTAGCAATGGGAAATACATTTTGGATGTTGCTTGACTGGTGGATGATCCCTAGTATCAACTGTATGCTGTGTTAAACTGGTTTGACCTACATCAGAAGATGAGCAGGAGAAATCATCTTAAAACTCTTGAATGGCATGTTCTGCAGCACTTCTCTCTTTATTGCTTAGTGGTGCATTCTGCAATAACTCCAGTGTTAGGCTCTTCAAAGTCACAGACTCTGAAAGACTACTGATTCGTTTAACACATGCCACAGGAATACATGCTGCAACCACTTCACCTTTCTTAATAATTTTCACCTTATCATTTACATTAACAACTCTCACCAGGATAAAGGTCCTCGATAGGTCGATGAGTGACAAGGCTACTAGTGCACTTCATGGAATATTCCAATTCTTAAGACATTCCATTATGATATACAGTCAAAAGTCGTTAATCCGGACTCGTCGGGACTTCAGCGATTCTGGGTTATCGATTTTTCCGGATTATAGATCATCAGTTTAAATCTGGTAAGATGGCATGCAGAAATTATAAAATTAAAAATATGAAACCGTAATTTATGAAATAAAGAACAATTATGATCTAAAGGGTATCAAAATTATCAAAAAGAAAAAGCTCAATATTTATTTGTTTACTTTATTAAACATTTCTTTCAATGTAAGTTGTTTAAGTTCTTTCGTTTCATGTGATAATACTTTCTCTTTAATTCTATTAAACAGACATAATTTCTTGTTCAGTTACAAAGTTCCACTGTTCAAGTCCTATAATTGCTGCGTCGAGAATACCGATTAATTTGTCAATCGAAATTTTTTCATTTTCAATAACCTGTGTGTCACTTTCTTCATTAGCGGAAGCAAATTATAATGACGAGGAACTTGATTGGCAAAGACAAAAGGAACTCTGTAATTAATTTGTTATTTGGAAGCAGAAACTCTTTCTTTGATTTGCTGCTGGACAACAGAAACTACTCTTTCTTCAATTTCTCCATCTTTTTTCAAATGTGTCTATTCCACCTTCAATAGCTTCAAATCTGTTTTCTGTTACAGCAGAAATTTCTCTTTTCATTTCCTCTCGACCTGCTTCAATCTTTCCTTGAACTGACTTCATGGCTCCTTCCCTTTCTTCTTAAGGCCACTTTCATCTCTTCTTTAAATGCAACAAAGGCAGTCACTAGTAGTCTTAGTTGCTCATCAATTGCTTTTGTGACTGGCATTCAAGCTCACATCTGACACCAAAAATTCCTGCATGCATACAGGTTCATAATGAATTGAATGCACACAGAACCAATGATAACTTGATAAAATTTGATTTCCTAAAAGGAACACTTTACGATTCGGGGACCTTCCACAAAAGTACTCATATAGCTCTTCTCGGTATCACAGAGCACATTCAGTAGTTACACTTCACACAACTAAGAATGTTAAACACAATGCAAGGCAAAGCACATATAAAAGGCAAAGCTGACATGGGAATCTCTCAATGCTCTGAAAAAAAAACTGAAGCTCTCTTCAGTCTTATATGGTTCTTCCTGCGACCGAGAAATCTCTAGTGCCTTCCAATTCTCAAAATTACTGGAAGGCATGTGTGGTTAAATTTACATATAAGGGCTGAATATGGTTACAATTACACACAGAGATCAATTGGCAGTTATTCAACTACATCAGTTGGCAGTTATTAATTAATTATGCAGGGATCAGACCAAAATTTCAGCAAATGCGCGGCAAGTTTGGCAACATTTGACGATTTCTCACCAAGTTTAGTGAGATAAGCAGTTACTTCAAGTTAAACAGATTCACCCCTGGAAACTTACTTTTCCGGTAGAGATTCCCCTTTTTCAAGCATTTCATATTACATTATACAAAAGATACTACAATTCACATATAATATTGCTAAAATTATTTACATATTCACAAAATTCACAACATTATTGCTTCATTTACAATAAGAGTTAAATTTCTTTTTTTCTATATAGAGTTACACAAACTTGACTCCTGATTAATTGAATTCCGTGTAACTCAATATTTTTTTTAATCGCCAAAATCTGCTGATCATACAGAGCATTATCTTTAAAATAATGCCACGGTTTATTAATACTTAGACAGTAATAGTTTTTAATTACAATTTTAATTACAAACAGTTAAAATATATTTTAATTACAATCTTAATTTAATTAACGCACATATGCATATGAATGTATCTGTGTTTTCCTGTTATTCAAAGATTTGCTTTGACATTCTAATTTTGCAATGTTAGTCTCTTTCCGTTTGTGACACTTTTCTTAGAAACTATTAAACGAATTTAGCGAGAGGTTCTGCTCTTTCCATGGCCATTTTGATGTACCTCATTCATCACTCAGTAACAAAGTGGCTGAAGAAATACACTTTCCTCCATTTCATTGCTAGCTGTTAGCAGGTTTATGGCAGTACTCATTGGTGCAGCTATGGATAGGCAAGATTAGGTAATGCCTAAAAACCCAGACATTTTAAAAGCCCATTACTTTTTAATATTCTAAAAGTAATAAATAAATAAATTTGTTGTAAAATCCATTTTTAATATTTTATATGTGCAGATTAAATTTTATGAATTATGTTATTAATTATAAGCATTTTATATCTTCTTTGCAAATAATATTAGAATTAAAAATTTATATACTACAGATGTGTACAAATTAATACTTCTCATCATAAAAAAGTCTCATTCTTACTATTTCATACACACATATGTGTAAAAAATATGAAGATACCAGTTATTCCCCCTTCAGATATTATGTTGAAACATGAAGGATAATTCATATTGTAAGTTTCTTTTCGGTTTTCTATGTGTGTTTAGATTCAGTCACCTCTTTTAAGTGAAAAAAACAGACAGCTTCTTAAAAGTTTAAAAGAGAACTACACAGACCCATTTTTCAGTATAAATGTCCAGAAAAAAAAAAAAAAAAAAAAAAAAAGATCGGCAGAAAAAAATTACAGGAATGACTATGAAAAGATGCTTTATATTAATTCTATTAAATGAAGTCGAATGACAGGTTATTTGGTTAGTAGCTGAAGGATAATTTATCACGTAGTTCAATGGGATTCACCTTTACTGCACAGAAATATGCACCTACTACAAATTGAAATTTCACTACGAATGGATAGAATTCTCATGTTCGGAAGGTGGAACATGTCGTTGAGAAGGCATTTGATGGATTATGAGAAACGACATGTGACTAGGAGAATGGAAGCAGGAAAATTATTACCGTACCCTCTGTAGAATCCTAAAAGCAGTAAAAAACATCAGGTTGAGAATATGGAAACAGTTTTAAAATATTGGTGATGCATGCAAACAACCAGGTCAAAGAAGAAAACATACAACAGACTCTTAGGACCATTATTTAGCAATAATTGCTAAAAGAAATAGACAATTGACATCAGCAGACACGCAAGACATCAGCTGAATGCAAGACTGCAAGCTCAGACTGCAGACTACTCAACATGCAGCTCAGACTGCTGCGGCTATAGGAACTTGATTACACAGATATACTAAATAACAGGCTGCATAAAAGAGGACTTGATACAAAGAACCCCATGATTTATGTCCCACAGTCCTAGTTTACTGATCCCACTTAGTATGTCTCATTTACTAAGCTGCAAAATGCACATGATAGTATTAATGCTGAAATCACTGTGATTAAAGTACACAGACCAAAGGTAGATTCTTTGTAAAGTAATTCCAGACTTGCTACAACCTGGAAAGAAACCTGAAAATATCAATGAAAAGCATTAATACAAAGGTGGCAAAATAATGGTATGCACAAGAACCATTTTGAATGGATGCACTAATCTACATATTTTTACCAATGTAACTATGAATGCTGAAATATACAAAGATGAAGTCTTGATCCCTATGTAAAATTGTTTAGGGCACAATTGGTAATAACTTAATCTTACTGGACAAAAATGCCCATCGCCATCATACTACACTAGTTACTGATTACCCTGACAGCAGACGAATCCAGCAGGTAGAACAACTTGCATAATCTCTGGATTTAAATCTGATAAAACGTGTGTAGGATGCACTATGATGCCAACTTGCATTATTTCATATACAATGATGGTTAAGAGAAGATTCCACATTGCATGAGTTTTATTTAAAATGCATCAGAAGCTATCCAAATTTCCAGTATCCAAGTCTGACAGAGACTAGACTACAGAAAATAATAATCATTAGACAAAATATATTTTGATGTACATGAAGCCCAAGCATGGAATGTCATGTGTATTTTAAAATTCTAACAATAATGATTAAACATTGCTTTAAAAAAACACTAGAAATGGAGAATTCACTTGATTTTGCTGCATTAATATTCCTAATTTCCATAGGTGAGTTTCACATTCTGCGTCCTTGGATGTTAACCGATGCTGAAGTTCAGAAACATGTGATTCCAATAATGCTATTTTTTTGTCTTTCTCCAGAAGCTACAGGATAGAAACAAAAACATGAAGAGCATGCACAAAAAATATACTGCATACATTTATTACAAAACACCAACAACACAAACATTTGAAAATACACATGTCACAGATTTAAAACTTGAAATGCTCACTATAACAAGTCACAAGAAGTTTAAAAAAATATACCAAAAATCACCAAAAAAAGTAAGATAACCAAAACTTGGATTTATTTTCAGATATTAGTTTGATTCTGAAACAATCATACTAACTGCATATTTCATTTTCATAATTTAAAAGTAATCTAAGTTTTATATAAAAGAAATGTTTTTAAATATTAATTAATGATTATGAAAATGATAAAAATGACCAAAAAAAAGAACTGAACAAGTCTTTACCAAATTAATTACTAATGGTTTGGACTGGCTAGAACTTGGAGTTGATGTGCTTGAATTTAAAATCTCTTGTGAAGAAACAGCAGAATTTGCAGTCTGAAAAAAAAAAGGGGGGGCAGTATGAAATTTTTGTAAAACAGCTAAAATGTATTATGCTACAAGTAAGTATATCACTCACATCAATATTAACACAATTAATATTACTTATTAGAAAATTGCTGTATTAGCCCAAATATAAGACAACCATGCATTTTCGAAGCAATTTCAAAAGAAAACATAACTTGGTTATATGATAAATAATTTTCATACTATATTGAAAGTGCTAAATAAGAAAGATAAATGAATAAATACCCTCTTTTGAAGTAAAAACACAACAAATCTTATTTTTCTATTGTGAAAGTTAAAGAACAAGTGATGAACTATTTTTTAAACGCTCAGCAGAGCACTTAAAAAATAATGTTTTGATTAACTGCACCTTATCCCCACAAGCTGCAAGTTTGTTGGCAACTTCAGTATAAAATATTTGTTTGGGGATTCATATATCTATTTCAACGATGCATCCAGTGATGCCTATTTTTTTACATTCCTTTTTTTCATTAGAAGACATGCACCTCAGGGATAAATTTACCAAGAGAGAGTTGCATTAAAGACATAATTCCACTTCATTTTCACAGAATATCAATTATATATAACAGTTTGTCCAACAATGAGTAAAACAAACCACTGTTATAAATTACATCTTCAAACCTATTTCTGACCCACATTCCGCTTGTAATTTTTTATGTTACATTTCCATAAAACCCAGTTGTTTAAGAACTGAAAGTTCATCAACAAAATAGCATATTTCTGAAGAAATGCAAAGTTTTCTTCTTCATCAGCCAGCAAACTCCCCATCCTCATTACAATTTGTTATGACAATAACAAAATACTCAATGCAAAAAACTAATACAGTCAAAAGTCATTAATCCGGACTCGTCGGGACTTCGGCGATTCCGGATTATCGATTTTTCCGGATTATAGATCATCAGTTTAAATCTCGTAAGATGGCATGCAGAAATTCTAAAATTAAAACTATGAAACCGTAATTTATGAAATAAAGAACAATTATGATCTAAAGGGTATCAAAATTTGCAAAAGAAAAAGCTTAATATTTTATTGTTTACTTTATTAAACATTTCTTTCAAATGTAAGTTGTTTAAGTTTTGCTTCGTTTCATGTGATAATACTTTCTCTTTAATTCTATTAAAACAGACATAATTTCTTGTTCAGTTACAAAGTTCCGCTGTTCAAGTCCTATAATTGCTGTGTCGAGAATACCTGACTAATTTGTCAATCGAAATTTTTTCGTTTTCAAATAACCTCTCTGTCACTTTCTTCGCTATCGTAAGCGAATTATAATGAACGAGGAATTTGATTTAAATTCATATCAAAGATGGAGCACATCGATGATGAAATACTACATTTAGATAAAAAATTATAAGCCAAATTAAATAAAAACATCTGAACTGAAGATAAGGATAGTGCTGACAGATCAACTTCCAATTCATTACGCGCCCGCTGCGCGTTCCTCCCACCGAGCAGCATGAAATTGATAAACAGATTTCGGATTTCAAAAACATACTTTCGCTTTAGATCCTTTACATATTAACAAATATATATCGGAAATTCTATTTGATATAATCGAAAGTTTAAACTTACTTTTATAAAATTGCTCTTACAGTCTGCAAAAAATAATAAGCCAGATCCAATTCGAAAATTAAGGAACAACGCAATCATCAACATTAACTGAAATAGATAATTATTTAGCTTATACATCCATTATACATAAAACGCGCACGCGAAAACGTATTCTGCACTTGCGCACACTCATATGCGCAGTCGTAAAAGGTCTTGCACGCACGCGTAAACGCCTATGCGCATGTGTCAACGCGGCGCATGCGCAGAAAGTTTTTAGTTTTGATGTCCGGATTATAGATCATTCCGAATTATGGGTGTCCGAATTAACGACTTTTGACTGTACTAATTAAAAAAAATAACAGTTACATTTAAAAAGTGCAAATCTAAGTACGTACACACACATGCTATGTGCATATTTAGGTTGCAATATAAATACTTTCTGGCAACATCTTGAGTTGTCACAAATATTTTTGGGTGACATCCTGGGTTGCCACATAAATACTTTTTAGAGATATGGTGTACTACCTCATCGATATGTTTTTTTACTTTTATTGAGGATGCATATACTCAAAAAGTACCACCAAATATAATATATTATGGGTAGTAAAATACTTAGGTATGGTTTCCAGAAAAGCATTTTAAAGGGAAATAGATTGTGTAAAATGTGATCCAATGTCATATTTTATGGCTGGTTTCTTTAAATAAAGGTTTGCATGGTAAAATAACACACCAAATATGCATATAGCACTAGATACATCAGAAAGAGTAAATAAAGAACTACTTTACATAGTAAACTTAAGACCTCTAATACTGTATGTGACATACACAATTTTGGTTCACACTTTCAATATTTGCATTGTTTTGAAAAAAAAGTCTATTTTTAGAGAATGAACTACCTAATTCTGTAATCAAAAACAGATGGGCTAATACAGATCAAAATTTTTACAGTTAGCATTTTTAAGTTACGAAGTTAAGATAATGTTAAAAAACCACTATTTAACTATTTAACTCTTTAATTATAGATTAAAGTTTAAAAAATAAACTGATATTAATTTTAGTTCAAATATTTAAATCTATTTTTTAAAAGCCACGAAGTGTAAAATCACAAATTTTCCACTGGTTTCATAAACAGATGTTCAATTGAAGATTCTATAAGAATCAGCAATGTGTCACAGATCCAATGAGCATGCATATACAACTTAATGGATAATTATAAAACAAAATGAAAAAACAAAAAATTTAAATTCATGCTTTATAAATTTCACTCATAATTATTCATAATTTTTAATTTAATTTATAAAGTAAAAATATTAAAAAATTGAAAAATATGAACTACCTTTAAATATATTCAAGTGGTGAAAAAATCTGTAAGCAATTTTAAAATTTATAAAAATCAAACAAATTGCTATAATTGAGTACAGTTTAAATGAAAATGAATTGCAAGGAAGGTTTTTGTGAGTGGGGGGAAGGGATTTGGTTTAAATTTTCACTACTAAAAGCTGCTGTGTCATAATGACAAAAATGATCCAACCAGAGATTAGGATGTAAAATCATTTATTCATGTATATGTAACATAATGAAAATCATAAAAGAAATCATTTATAATATTAACAGAGGCCTGTTACATATTCATAAAAGTAAACGCTTAGAGCACACAACAGCACAGGTTACTTATCAACAGCTTTCGAGTGCTATCCTTCAGATTATTATTAAATACGGTATAAAACTCCTTGTTGATAAAAATTTGATCCATTATCAACCCTGAAAAAAACTTCCTGTTTGTGATTCATTTTTGAATAAACTACACTAATTTAACCTATCTGTTACATTTTTTAAATATGTATGGATTTTTCAGCCACCCTGTATATCAGAAGTTACACTAATTTAAGCCATCTGCTATATTTTTTAAATATTTATCGATTTTTCAGCCACTCTATAAATCAGAAGTTGTAATTATCATGAAGCTAACAGCATCCATATCCCCCCTCAGAACCTTGGTTGTTAAGGTATTTACAGGTCGAATCATGCAAGAGTTGGCAGCATGGGAAGGAATGCCTTTATGTGGAACCATTTTCTACTTTCTCAAATTTAAATTTAACAGGGGAAAATTTTATATGAATATACATTTAGTCCTGATTTCACATTATCGCTTTATGAAAATAATACACCATTTGCAACTAGCAAGAGAAAATTAATTCCTTGTATGTGTCCTGTTAAACTATACACATTTTTTGCCTCCTTTCATTAAACTGATTTCTTTGAATTATTCTAATTTAATTAACCGATTCATCACGGCAAGTTGGAAATGACATCAAAAATAGCAAATTTTGAAATTAAATATTCAGTCAATTTTTTTCATATGGAAGTCAAACTTTTTATAATCTTATTTTTTCATAAAGATTTTCCAAATATAAGTATAGAAACTGGGAGACTATGTTAAAAGTTAGATTTCGTTATTTGTACAATTTTTTTTTTAATTTGACACTATCAAAATATGAATATTTTCATAACTTAAAACAGTTGTATAATTAGAAGCGGCTCCGGTATTTTTGACATAAATCATAATTCCAGCCGGAGCATGCCGGAAGCCTGAATAAAAGGGCTTAGGCACTTCTTTTATGTAAATGAAACAAAATCGCATCAAACAAATTTTATTTCAATTATAAATATGTCTAAAAATTGTTTCTAACTTCTTTCTGTATTTCTCTAGGGAATAAACACTCTGACTGCAGTTCAGAATTTTAAGGAAAGAAAAGAACCATCCATATATATCAAGGGCTTATTTTCCAGGTAGTGCACTTACAAGAGCGGGTAATTCCCAATGGTACTAAAAGTGATCACCTTAGACATGCAAGTCTAATGCTAGTGACCTCCCATTGTAGAGCTCATGCATACTTTTCAACAAGATGTAATATGTGATGAAAGATGTTACTTGTGAATCTTACGTTTGTTCTCATTTGTTATCAGATTGGATTATGGGGAAATATTTTTTCTTAGTAGCAATTTGCATGACAGTTTGAATTATACGAACTGGACATCACTGTCAGAAAGCAAATGACTTTTCTCTCTTTGTTTTGCTACACTTCTCCATTAAAATTTCTTCCATATTCTCATACTGTTTCTAGTATTCTCTGTGATTCTCATAAGTGACGCTTTAATCATTTTACCTTTTTCTATTGGCAGGCTGGAAAAAGAATGTTTTTTTTTTTTTTTTTTCTCTCATCCCTTGAAATAGTACCTTTAAATTCTGTCAGAGCACAACTGAGTTTTTCTTAGTTTATGAATGAAATTGTAAGTCTATCTGGAGCCTCCCAAAAGACAAAGTCCTATATTTTATTTCTATATGAATTTCTTTTTTGACTTTTCATGAATGTAATGATTTATTAAAATTTTTATATCTTTATATTTTACTGAAAATT